GTGACTTGCACACGAGGAACTTAAGGAGCAAATGGCGAAAGGCTTATGTTGGTTCTGTGATAAAAAATGGCAAAAAGGTCATAGGTGCAAACAAAGGCGACTTTTCATGATTAAGCCGGTGGAAACCAATGAAGAAGATAATGAATCCGATTCGGATGATACAGATGGTGATCGTGATGACGATGCTGTTGCTATTTCCACTGTTGTGAAAAGCGAGTTTAGGCGAGTGCCTAGGCAAGAAGCGAAACGAAGCAAGCCTTGAACATCTAAGGCGACGCGAGGTTAAGTAAAGCGAGCTTGGGCGACGAAGCGAATAAGCGAGCCAGGCGAAAAAAGCGAACGCCTGATGCAATTTTTTTATTTTTTCCTCCTCCCCCCATCCTCCTCCTTCTTCTTTAACATTAACTAAACCTTAGCAGAGATAATGTTCTACGTGTATATGTATAAAATAAATTGATTGATTCGTGTAACAGTATCATATGACAATTTGTCTTATCATGATTAGATAATATTGAATACTTTGTTTTGATGTGAATGCTCTTGTTAATTAATTTGCTTGGTTAATCAAATTGATTAATCAATTTGCTCTATGCTCTATTTGATTAATCAATTTGTGAGTGTTTTGTTTAGTGGTGATATTAATCAATCACGGTGAAAGTCGGATCCACATTTACTAATTTTACATTTAGATGATGTAATTATGTCAATTGATTATTTTTAGAATACAATAATGTTCAATATTTAATAACTTGTTTATTTAAAATATGTTGATGCTTATTATTTTGATTGCATTTAAATATTTTATATTTGTAAAGTTAAAACTTGAATATATTGGAATAATCAAATTATGAAACTAAAATATTTGTTTATTTTTTATATTGTTCCCTTTGATTCAATAAAGTGCTCGTTTCGCTTCTCACCTAGGCCCTCAGAAGACCGATTCGTTTCGATTCGATTTACGCCTTAAATAACACTGGCTATTTCTGTCAATGCTTTGGTCTGACAAACAACTTCTCAATCCATGCGGGTTAATACTTTCATCAAATGCCAGTTGGTAACCATCTTAATTGATTTTGGAAGTACAAATAATTTTATGGATGTTAAGTTGGCAAAGAGATTGTCTTGTCTGGTTGAGCAATTGGAGTCATTTGAAGTGAAAGTTGTTGATAGTAGATCCTTGATTTGTTCAGGAAGGTGCACTAATGTGCCAATTTTTGTGCAAAATCAGAAGTTCGCTACAGATTTGTTTTTGCTACCACTGGATGGTAGTGATTTGGTTCTCGGTGCCCAATAGTTTCAAATTTGGGCGATATCATGTGGCACTGTTCAAAATTAATTATGAAGTTCACTTTGAATGGAAAAAATGTGATTATTAAAGGCAAAGGAGGTGAGAAAGTTAGCGGTCATCGCATGGAACGAATCCTTCGAAAGGAATGGTGTGGCATCTTGANAAAGTCGGATCCACATTTACTAATTTTACATTTAGATGATGTAATTATGTCAATTGATTATTTTTAGAATACAATAATGTTCAATATTTAATATCTTGTTTATTTAAAATATGTTGATGCTTATTATTTTGATTGCATTTAAATATTTTATATTTGTAAAGTTAAAACTTGAATATATTGGAATAATCAAATTATGAAACTAAAATATTTGTTTATTTTTTATATTGTTCCCTTTGATTCAATAAAGTGCTCGTTTCGCTTCTCACCTAGGCCCTCAGAAGACCGATTCGTTTCGATTCGATTTACGCCTTAAATAACACTGGCTATTTCTGTCAATGCTTTGGTCTGACAAACAACTTCTCAATCCATGCGGGTTAATACTTTCATCAAATGCCAGTTGGTAACCATCTTAATTGATTTTGGAAGTACAAATAATTTTATGGATGTTAAGTTGGCAAAGAGATTGTCTTGTCTGGTTGAGCAATTGGAGTCATTTGAAGTGAAAGTTGTTGATAGTAGATCCTTGATTTGTTCAGGAAGGTGCACTAATGTGCCATTTTTTGTGCAAAATCAGAAGTTCGCTACAGATTTGTTTTTGCTACCACTGGATGGTAGTGATTTGGTTCTCGGTGCCCAATAGTTTCAAATTTGGGCGATATCATGTGGCACTGTTCAAAATTAATTATGAAGTTCACTTTGAATGGAAAAAATGTGATTATTAAAGGCAAAGGAGGTGAGAAAGTTAGCGGTCATCGCATGGAACGAATCCTTCGAAAGGAATGGTGTGGCATCTTGATACAGTTAAGAAGCACAGAAAAATCCGAACCACACACTATTGAAGCTGAAAAATTGGGCCAGCTATTATGTGAATTTTCAGAAATTTTTGTCGAGCCTAAAGGATTACTCCTGCAACGTGCTCATGACCACAGCATACCTTTATAACTGGGAAGTGCACAGCAAATGTCAGGCCATATCATTATCCTTATATCCAATAGATGGAGATTGAGAAGATTGTTCATGAAATGTTGAATTCAGGAATTATCTGCCCCAACGTTAGTCCATACTCGCCCCACTAATACTGGTTCGCAAGAAATATGGGTCTTGGCGAATGTGTGTTGATTATAGGGCCTTAAACCATGCCACAATCAAGGATAAATACCCTATACCAGTTGTTGATGAATTGTTGGATGAACTGGGTGGAGCCTGGTATTTTTCCAAGCTTGATTTGTGTTTGGGGTAATCACCAAATCCATGTGCATGAGGATGATATCTAAAAAACCGCTTTTAGGACCCATGATGGGCATTATGAGTTTTTGATGATGCCCTTCGGGTTAACTAGTGCTCCTTCCACATTCCAAAGTTTGATGAATGACAGTTTCAGGCCACATCTAACATAAGTTTATCTTAATTTTCTTCGATGATATCCTTGTTAATAGTCCATCATTTGAAGATCACCTGCTTCACTAGCGAATGACTCTCACCACCTCTAAGGAAGCATAATCTTTTTGTTAAGAAATCCAATTGCAATTTTGGGCACTCAAAAGTGGAATACCTTGGCCATCTTGTCTCTAGAGAAGGGGTAGCAGCTGGTCCCACGCAGGTACAAGCAATGGTAGAGTGACCCATGCCTAAAACAATTAAAGCTCTCAGTGGGTTCTTGGGGTTAACTGGTTACTACCGCAAGTTCGTAAAGGATCATGGCAAGATAAGTGCACCTCTTACAACATTGTTACGGAAGGATGCTTTCAAATGGGGTCCAGAACCTGAACATGCTTTTCTCAAATTAAAACAAGCAATGTCAAGTACACCTGTCCTTGCCTTCCTTGATTTTGGATGTGATGTTTCAGGCATAGGCATTGGGACAGTCTTGATGCAGGTCATCCCATAGCTTTTACTAGAAAGGCCTTGTCGCAATCCCATCTGGAGATGTCATTGTATGATAAAGAGATGATCTCCTTCATGCTGTTACAAAATGGAGGCCTTATTTGATTGGGCAACACTTCCAGATATGGATGGACCATAAAAGCTTAAAGTACTTGTTAGAGCAAAGAATTTCCTCTATGGAGCAGCAAAAATGGGTGACAAAACTGCTGGGATACGATTATGAAATTGTTCATAAAAAAGTCGCTGAAAATTTAGTGGCGGATGCATTGTCTCGAATTCTAGAGCAAGCACAGCTGGTGGCAATATCAATACCATCTTGTCATAATATTGATGAAATCAGGAGAGAGTTGGCCAAGGATTTGACAGCCCAGTCCCTAATCCAAAAGCTTCAAAATGATCCTTCTTCAATGTCGCATTTTATACTTGGGATGTGAACAATTTGCGCTACAAAGGGTGGATTGTTCTTGCAGCTGATTTGGCGCAAAAACAGGTTATGCTTCATGAGTTCCATTCATCTCCAATAGCTGGTCATTCTGGTTTTCTCCGTACAGACAAGAGAATTTCTCGGGGTTTTTGTTGTACGGTTATGAAGAAGGAAATTAACAAATTTGTAGAAGAATGTGAGATTTGCCAACGACACAAGGTGAAACTGTGGCAAGTCCTGGACTTCTTCAACCTCTCCCAGTTCCAGATGATGTGTGGTCTGATATTTTTATGGATTTTGTGGATGGACTACCTCAATCACAAACTACAATTTTTGTGGTCATGGATCGTTTCACTAAATATGCTCATTTTGGCTCTATATCGCACCCGTACACATTATTGACCATTGCTCAAGTGTTTGTTGACTTTATTGTTAAGCTACATGGCATTCCAAAATCTATCATGAGTGATAGAGACAAGGTGTTTACGAGTAATTTTTGGAAGGAGCTTTTTCGTCTGCAGGGTACACACTTGCACATGAGTATGGCATATCACCCTCAGACTAATGGTCAGACCGAAGTCGTCAATTGATGCTTAGAAAACTATTTACATTGTTGTACTAGTGTTCGACCAAAAGAATGGGTACGATGGCTTCCTTGGGCAGAGTGGTGGTATAATACAATGTATCATTCTGGGACAAAGCTTACGCCATTTGAGGCTGTCTATGGTCGCGCTCCACCAGTTATTGCCACTTAATCTTCATGGCTCTTCAAATGTGCATCAACGTATCATTCTGTGTCTTGCAACTTAAGAATAATCTGCATGCTGCCCGAGCTAGAATGAAGCAACAAGCAGACAAGCATTGGCGTGAATGGGAATTCAAAGTCGGCGATTGGGTTTTTCTTCATCTACAACCCTATCGGCAAGCCACAATTAATGTCCGTGTGTCAGCAAAGTTATCTCCGCAATTCTATGGGCCATACAAGGTGAGAGAACGCATAGGGCCAGTTGCTTATCATCTCGATTTACCCAACAGGTCCAAAATACATTCGGTTTTCCACGTCTCTTGTTTGAAGAAGAAGCTTGGTGATCAAGTCTTGGCCCAAAGGCACTTGCCTGATGCATCTCCCAATGGCAAAATTAAATTTTAGCCTCAAGCAATTTGGGAGTGTAGAATGGTCAAGCGCAATAATTTTTCATCAGTTGAAGTACTTATTCAGTGTGCTAATTTGCCTGAAGAAGATGCAACGTAGGAGCCTTACTACTCAGTACTGGATAAATTTCCAGATTTCATTGCTTCTCAGCCTTGAGGACAAGGCTATTCTTAAGGGCGTGTGAATGATACAATCCCTAAATTGTATCCCATAATTCTAGCAGTAGGAACCCAAATATTTTCTTTCCTAATTAGTTTCTTTGAAGTAGTATAAATTGTAATGCCCTCTGGGCCCTTAGGGCATATACACAGTAAATTGCTTAAGGCATGTGGAGGACGATCCCCTCGAAGAGATCCCTTTCTTTCTTCTTACTCTCTTTTTCTGTTGATTTTTTTCTGCTTTTCTGTTGATAGAACCTTGGGGTCCTATCACTTCATCGTTGTCGGATGTATTGATCCTTGTCTTTTTACACCCGGCTTCAATCTTGAAATGGAAGTTCAAACCCTTTTTCTTTTCGTGGCAACTAAAATTACATTTTATGTACACAACAAACTGCACAGGGATGTATAGAAGTTTTGAATATGGTAAAACATATTATGCATGACATATTATTATCTAATTGGTACAATACCAACTGCTTGAGTGATTGTAGCCATTATGTTGTTAGTTTTCTTTCCCTAACAATCTGTTTCCTCAGCTAGTTAACAGTTTTGTACTTGTGCTGTCAATGTGATTATTGCTAATGTCTTCATGACTGGCAGATTGTTCATTGGAGAAATCAACTGAAATTTCCTGAGCATGCAAAGTTGACGCCTGAGGCAAAGGATCTCATCGGTAGGTTACTATGTGATGTTGAACACAGGCTGGGTACTGCTGGAGCAGACCAAATTAAGGTTGAGATTTGATTCAATTGATGTTTTTTAGTTTTATTACTTACAACTTTATTGGTCTTTCAATCCTTATATTCATTACATCTATATTGTATTAGGCTCATCCTTGGTTCAGGGATATTATATGGGATAAACTTTATGAAATGGAGGCAGCATTTAGACCAGAAGTGAATGGGGAGCTAGATACTCAGAATTTTATGAAGTTTGATGAAGTATTTCACCTATCCATCCTCTCCCTTTTTCACTTGTGTTTCTTTTATTGCACTGCTATTATTACAGTAATACCTAAAGATTATCAAAATAATGGTTTTAGTAAACAAATTTGTTTTTATTGTTTATCATTTCTTGTTCAGTTCACACAACACTAAACTTACTTGTTTATTAAGTGATCTAGATCATACGACTGTTAGAGTTGTTATATATTATGTACTTTAGAGCCCCCCTTTTTCACCTTCCCGTTCAATATACTTTATTTTGATGGTAAAAACAGGAGGTGGCTTTTTGCATATTATAATATTCCGAGTGACGCTTAAAACGAAAGTAATTTTAGGCGTGCAGTTTGAGATGTAGGCTTGGCCACTTGTATAGTTGAATTCATGTAATCTATGTTTGCTGAGGCGTTAAACAAGCCCTGCTGTTTTGATAAATTTTATGAAATTGCCATCGCCTATCCAATATGATTTCTTTTCGAGTACATGTGATGTCATCAAATTATGATCAGATGCTTGTCTTTAGTATATCTTTTGGCCTAGTGCATCACCATAGGACTAAGAGAGTATCAGTTGTTCAGTGCTTCCAGATATTGAACTGTTCAGAATCTCCAGAGTTTATGTCGTAATATAATGTTTTCTGAGTGCTTTGTTCAGCCTATACTTTCTGTTTATATGCTTTGCGTTTTTATCACCTTTTTTTTAGTCCTTGCCCTTTTATATAACCTTATCCATGGAATTGGTTATTAAATTTGTCATCAGTTGGATGCACAGACGATGGAAAGAACTGGCTCAGGACCCTCACGGAAGGTTTGTAAATGTTAGATTTAATATTGTCATATATATTTGAACTTATAGGATGCACTATTATGCATCCATATTTGGTAGTAACCATGGTTTTCTCTACACAAAACTGTCATTTCATTTACTCAATTAAGTTCATAACTTTTTTGTGCATTGGCATAACGTTCCTTTTCTGATTACCTAATATCAAGGAGAAAAATAAAATTGGATAGCATTGACGTATCAGGGCACTTCAAGTAGTGACTTGAAGGTGCCAAATATTAGCATCAAGAACACTGTCTGAACAAGGTACATGTGTCATATTTCTCATTTTTTGGCGTGAACGGTGGCACGTGTAACCTTTTCTACATCAGGTCAACACAAGTAAAGATCAAACAGATGATGAGACTAAAAATGCAGCATGCAATGAAACCAATTATTCTTCCAAGCAAAGATCAAAATATCATTTCGAAACGTTTCCGTTTCCAAGGGGACCGAAATGAATCAGTAATGAAATCGAAATTCTAATTCTTCAAGGTGTTCTATAATATTTTGAAATGTTGTTATATTTCAATGCATTTGCACAATTATTTCAGAATGTTTCAAGGTATTTTCAAAATATTTTGGTATATTTTAACCAATATTTTGAAAAAATAAGTCTTAAAGTTTTATTTTTTTCATTTTGTTTCCGAAACAGGTCGAAACGTTTCTAAAACACATCGATGTTTCCGTTTCCGGGGCGACCGAAACGATGCACCGAAATGAAATTTTGATCCTTCCAAGAAGGGAAAAACAAAGAAATTAAAAAAAAAAACAAAAAAAGGAAAACTCTTTGGGTGTGGAATAACAACTGCCTTATGCTTTCGCTGGTCCTATGTGTGAATACTGCAATGTTACACAATCTTCTAACCTGTACTTTTTTTGGGTTGGGGAGGACAGACTGGTATTGGTATTGTTTTAGACATTGCAATGACTTGGGACTACAATGGTTCTTTATATCCTTTTCGTAATGGAATATAACATGGGTCGGTGGTTTTAATTGTGTTTAAGATCAAATTATACTGGTAATACAAAAGCACTGGACCTAGCAGATTCACTTCTCTTTCCCCCCAATACTGTGATATAATGATTTTTGCATTATTAAGGCATCTAATATCTGCCTTCATACCACTTGGTGGCAGATGTTATTGACTCCCAAAGATCTCAGTTTTGTGGGGTATACATACAAGAACTTTGATGCTGTCAAGGCACTACGCACTTCTTCAGGTGAAAATTATGTTCTGCTTCTTCTCGAGCAGTATATAATGATGTAGATTCTGTTGTTGCTGACATTTTTCATTCAGCATGCATTTGTGTCCCTCTCAGTGGATGTCTAGCCATGCACACATGATTCTTTTTTCTGGATTTGATTTACCCCAAAACAAACAGAAAATAAATAATAACAAAGGCAATCGACATGTGTGTTCCTTTAGGCTTATTTAGACATTTGCATGCCAATCATGACCAGAAAAGGAAGTGGGTCGAACAAATGAAGGGCATTCAATCAGCACTTCTTTTTTATTTATTTCCAAAACTTTTGATAATTAGCATGAAAGCAGCCAACCTTGAGGCTGTGGGTGATTTGATAGGAGCCACTTTTTCTGAATAATGCCAAAGGTGTGTAGTTCACCACAACACCTCTGATTAAAGGGACCATTTTGGATAAGGACCAGCTCTATTTTGTTTATAAGCAGCACTATATCTAATTTTAGTGACAAGAAGTATAACTTTCTTCCATGGCATAAATGTCCTAACATCATGTGTGCTATGCATAAAGTCTGGAATCAGACCATACATGGAAAGATTTTCTTGATTCAAAGAGGAATACATCGAGATTCTTCTGCTTATTCTTCTGCTTGGGGCAAATAACAGCATGCCCTCTTATTCTCTTTCTTAGGCTCTTGGATGTGCTAGACAAATTAGGTGCCAGTACTATTTGTGGCAAAAATCTCTTTTTCTCAAGAAAATTTCAGTTGAACATGGCTACATAGTGTGTCAAAACTCTGGATATCAAAATACTGACTTGTGCATTTAACTTTTGTTGCATTGTGACCTGGTGCTTGTTAGTACCTTCTATTGAGTTGACCTTGGGGTGTAAATTTAGCCCAGTTGACCAGAAAAGTGGGTTGTTGAGCTTGAAATGAAGCTTAAGCTTGGCTTTTACTCTTTCAATAGTAGATCTGGAGCAGGCTTCTAACTAGCCAATGATCAGCCAAGCCCACACTACTCTAGCTTGTTTTCACCACTAGGTCAACTCAATAGTGAAGCTCAACTAGCATCCTTCTTTGTATGTTCTTGCTGAAAATGTTGCGCAAACCATTGGATGGTTTTTTGCATGCTATACCCAAATGGCCCTCTTGATTTTTTGAGCTGCTTTTATGGTTATCATTTTCAAGTCTTGATTGTTAAGCTTGTCTGTGCTTCTAAATGGTGGGAGAGATTTTACCATTCTTTTGTGGGTCTGTAATTCTTGCAGATACTAGAAGTACATCACCTATACGGCCATCCATTGATTCTATTTTTGGTAGGAGATTCTGTTTCACAGCTATCCTCTTTTTGGATGTTAGTGTGGACAGTAGTCTTATTATGTATTCTTTTCAGGTGATTCCAAGGTTGATCCTATGATAAAAGGAACAGCTGAGGAAACGGATGTACAGATGCTTGCATCAATGGGTGATGCAATGTCACCGTAGAGTAAACATAAATGTTTAGCAAGTGGGCAAGCCCTTCATGGGAAGGATGGCAATATGCCTGTGTATTTGACCAGGTGACCCCAAGTCACCATTCCTTGTGTGCGGGTTGCCACATTTTGCAGAACCATTAATTGTACAGAATTTGTGGTGTGACCTTATAACAGCCCTATGATGTGTTAAAATACTAGGACAAGCAATATTTGTGGTTAATTTAGGGAGCTGTGGTACTTTTTAAGTGCTGGCTGCCCAGGTTGGCAGTAAAAACTTGCCTTCGCTTGTGGCTGTTCGCGGTCTGAAATTTTCAGGCGGTTGTTAACAATGATAATTAACTGTTATAAAATTTTATTGTGGTTTAACTAGATGTTACTAGTTGTGGAAGAATTTAAGAATTTATACCAATTTTCCAGTGTTGAGGTGTTTACTGGTAGGGGCTGATATTCTGCGATATTATATTAGTTAATGAAAGACTGGATCTGAATCATTTATGATTGTTCATGATGGTTGCTTGTGCTATTTTTTTATTGTCAACTTTGAATGGTATAGTCAAAAAAAATAATAATAATAGATAATTTATAGTTTAACAATAAATAGGATCCATTATAAAAAATAATAGAAAAATGAAATTCATGTTGTTGATGTGAATATTATCTATATAATAGAGTACAATGGATTTTTATTTTTTAGCTTATTTTTAAGATATCTTGAGTTATTAGTGTCTCAAATTATTTTGAAATTGATCTAAATTCAATTTGATAGTTAAAAATTATTCCCAAAAATTAGGGTTCTAGTCCTAAATTTTCATAACCGGTTGAATCTACATTACATAAGTATTGTTGATATGGTATAACTATTTTACCTAAAATTACTCGAGAAAGAATGAGGAGGGAGAGAGAGATGGGGAAAATAGAAATATAAGGAGAAGAGGGGAGAAGAGGGGGAGAAAGAGAGCGGGCGATATAACACTGATGAGGGAGTGAGGAAGGGTCTGAGTAAGGTGGCAATAAGGAGAAGCACAAAAATTAAAAAATAGATAGAATGGGTTTTCTTTTATTATTTATCATAGAGGTGATTATATATTAAATGGCTGGATTGTTATAAATTTTTATGAGCTTGCAGATTTATTTATTTATTGGTGGATGATTAAATTACGTGACACTACCGATGTGGTTTAATGGTTACACCTAATATTTTTTTCCTCTTTCTCTCCCTCTCCCTTGCTATTCTATTTTTTTCTCGCTGCAAAAACCCTAAAACCCTTTTCCTCCAACCCTATCTACACGTAGGCAACCCACACCACCAATGAATCATCATCTCTCTCTCTCTCTATCTCTCTCCTATACAACTGAACAAACCACGGTCAGCCACCATTGCACTATCTGTGTAGAATCAAATGTGAAAATTTGTTGTCACGAAGGCCCACCAACTGTTCGGCGACATTGACGAGTGATTGAGGGTGGTATTTTTTTTTTTAACCAAAGAAGCGGCAATTGAGCTACGTGGTGCACCAAAACTGAAAATGACTTTTGCCAAGTAGAAAAAGAGAAAAAATTCTCAAATGATTTGTACTTTTATCAAAGTTGCCCGAGTTTAATCTCTCTAGATAAAAAGAAGAATTACCGCATTTTGAAGCGAAAATAGTTGTAATTTCATGTTTAATTTGTAGTTTTATTCCTTAATTCATTTTTAATTTGCTTTGACATCTGAGATTCTAATTACTAAAGTGCCTTTTGGATGTGTAACCCATTACCATGCTCATCCTTTGATAAGCAATGACCTTCCCTTGTTGCACCAACGCACACCACAACCCCTAATGAGAAGCGTCACTATAAATAACAAAGCCACTACTTCCTCTAGGTATGGCTAGTACTAGAGGTGAAACTAGCCTGGTCTTAACTCTTGGAAACTCTATTCACACTTAACATCCCACGTGAATTTCACATCCTTTCTTGTCAAATGAGTTAATGGCATAGCAATCGATGAAAAACCTTGAATGAATCTTCGATAATAACCAGCTAATCCCATGAAACTTCTAATCTCTTACACATTATTCGGTTTGTCCCACTTCACCATTACCTCCACCTTTTTAGGATCAACTTGAATACCCTCTCTTGAAATAACATGCCCCAAAAAAACTACACTACCCTTCTTGAACTCACATTTACTGAATTTTGCAAACAACTGCTTCTCTCGTTAGGTTTGCAACATAATTCGCAAATATCGCTCATGTTCCTCCTTGTTACGATAGTATACTAGAATATCATCAATAACACACAGTCACAAAGGGATCTCGATAGGGTTGAAATACCCTATTCATGAGATCCATAAAAGGCTTCTAGAGTGTTTGTCAATCCAAAAGGCATGACTGGGAACTTGTAGTGTTCATATCTTGTTTGGAAAGCCGTCTTTGGTATATCACCACTTCTTACTTGCAGCTAGTGATTACCAGACCACAAATCAATTTAGTGTACACCCTTGCCCCCTATAGTTATTCAAATAAGTCATCAATCCTAGGTAGAGGATACTTGTTCTGTATTGTTACCTTGTTGAGTTGTCAATAGTCAATACATAACCGCATGGTGTCATCTTTCTTCTTCACAAACAACATCGGAGCTCCCCATGGAGACACACATGGCTGGATATGTCGCACCCCAACTCCAAGGGCATGATCAGCTGTGAACCATAAATCCATAACCTATGGAACATGTAAGCCTAATAATAAACTAATAATATAGGAGCAGAAAACAACATTAACACTAAATTGATCTCAAGTCAATATATCAAAGTCAACATACCTAAACCTGTTTGTCCCAATTATCTAAACAAGTAAAGATGGTTATACGATATATGTTAGGGAGGTCACAACACTATTAGTCCCCAATCAATTTCCTGAGTCCGCTATCGACACTCCAATCTTTTACTTGAAAAAATTTTATTTTGAAAATATGAGCTAAGAAGCCCAATGAATGGAAAGACATGCATATTCAAAGTGGTTGAAAAACAAATTTGGCATACGACATGTAAATCAAAGATTTGGAAAATAACTTCATCAAGATAACCATTTTCTCAAGAATAACACAATCAGATTTCAACAAAGAAATCATACGACAATAGCAAATCATATCATAATGGTGGAGACTATACGATATCCAATAATCGATGAAAACCAAATACCAAATGCTAGAATATTTCTCAGGATTTGATCTATCATCGTACTTAGCGTCACCATAGCCTCCCCCGAGTCTGTTCCCTAAGACGATCCGGCGAAGGTCACCAGGATGCATCAGACACTGTTCCTTCAACCGTTGAGCACTAGGGTCACCTCACCCTCCTCGGGTTTGTTCCCTAATGGCCAGAGTCACCCGCACACAGAGGAATAATTTTTCTGGACTTTTAATTTTGGTCTCATTCACCATCACTAAGTCTCACCATATAAACAAATGATTAAGTCACAATACTTTACAAAAGAATTCATCAAAGTAAGGAGAATTGTATGATACAAGTATTTAGACACTTAGTAAACCATTTTGTAAAGGTAGTAATAAATAAGCATGATGTATTATTTTTAAAATGTTTAGGGATACGAAAATTTTTCGAAAATATGTAGCATGTCAAACCACTTACCTCAAGTCCAAATGATATGCTTCTTGAGTGTTGCTTGTTACCCGAAGTAGAGTGAGATGTTATCGATGTCTTTCCTTCTTTTCTCACAATTTCCTTTCTCCTTTGATGAGGTGTTCTTCCTTCCTTCTTCTCTCTTTTATTCTCTATTCTTTCTTGAAAGTGGAAGACTACTTGTGCACTTCTATCTTAATCCAATCCCCAAATGCCCTATTTATAGGCATCCTAGGATTATTCTAAAAAATATTGACATGTGACATTTTTAAGGGGGGGGGGATTCCCAAGAATATTCTACCATCTCCCTTTTCTTAGATCCTTCTAGGTTTCAAGCTTATTTTGCACATGACAATTCCACAAGTATCTAGATTCATCTATGATATTCTAAGTCTTCTTCAACCTTCTACGTTCTTCCAGAACTTTCCGAAACATTTTAAATCCCTCTAAAACCTTCTAGTATTTCCTAGAATATTCTAAAATATTCTAGACTTCTCTAGATTGTTCTAGAACTTTGTAGATTCTTCTAGAATTTTTTAGAAACTTCTCGAACATTCTAGATTCTTCTTTAAACATTTTTCTTATTCCTTCCAAGATAATATTTCCTAACTAGCTCCTTGCCAAAAATGGAATGGGGTATTACATTCTTCCTCCCTTAAAATAATTTCGTCCTCGAAATTATGTTAGTTATCCCAATCGAATAAGTGTGGTATTCCTGATGCATTTGCCCCTTTAAAAAAAAATGGCCTCAATTGCATAGTTCTTTGTAACCAGTGAACCAATTGATTTGTCTTTTATCCAAAGCCTGTATTGTTGCTGCTTTTAGGTCAAGCCACTATGAACATAGAATGGTTCATTGTAAATCACGTGCAATGAGCTATAAATATTCTTACTTAACATGGACGCAAGGAATATGTTACACCCGCAACAAGTCAAGGTAATAGAGCCTCTCAATAGACTGCCACACTAACTCTATTTGGGACATTGAAGCGTCTAATGCTACTAGACTTGACCTTTCTTTAAATTGAATAACCTCTCAAAGCATTGTAAAATCCAATAACCAAATTATTATTACTTCTCATTCCATAACTAGCCGATCAAAACTCAAAACAAAACCATACAGTTCTGCATTCTTGTCAAGTTTCATCGTTGATTTCGATAGGCTATCTAAGCCTTCACTCCACCAAGCTCTTTAGATTGACATTATATAACCAAAACTTGATTAAAAATGGCACCCATTTCAGATTCCATACATTAAAGAATTAAGACATGAGTAGTTTCCGAGGGTCAAACAGTTACTCCATAATATCCAAGGCAACCTCGGGGAAACCAATGTAGAATGGATTTGACTATGTTAATGATAACACCTTTTGGAAGCAACATTACATGTCAAGGATGTCTAGAACTAAGGTTCACAATTTGTTCTCAATCATTTTTATATTCTCTCTTTCCCAAACTCTCATGATAGTGTTACTAGTCCCCACTTATTACCTTTAGAACATATCGTTAAGATGAAGCACCTTGCCATATCACAAAGTAACCCATGGCTTCCAATCCATTATTTTATTGTCTATCCTAAGCCTAGCACATCAAACTCATCCATGCGTAACCTAATAATTCTTGTGCACCTCATAAAAGCAAACTTATCTGATGAAGAAGAAGAAATTGATAATTAACCATTACAAGTTGCGAACTTAAAACCACCAGCATCTTCCATATCGTATATCTCTTTCTTCGATTGTCTCCCATTAAAATTGTTCTCTTCCTTTACCAACTCATTTATGTATAAAACTTGACCCATCTCTCTCTCCCAGGCAACTTCTATAATGATCAGTCATACCCAAAATCTCTCTTTCTTA